TCCTCACTAACACGGCGGTTTGGGGTCGATCGGCTGATGCTCTAACGACACGCGCTGCTCTCGGCTTTGCTCCCAAACAACAATTACTCACGTACCCGAGAAGCCTGGAAGTGAGTCGGAGTAGGAAAGAGGAAGCGCCCGTCTGATATCTCACAAACCTGTATGTGAATCTGCTGTGACTCAGACGTTGTGGAAGGTGTCTCCTCTACTGGAGACTCCTCTGTTCCAGAACACAAACTCTCAACACTTGTGAAGGGAGGCCTTCCAACAACGGGCCGGAGACATTTTACTAATTGTTTAGTGTGAGGAAACACAAATGCATTGACGCTGTTTTGGTTTTGGGGTAGAATAACATTTGATGCTGAAACTAGACTTCATAAGTGACTCTAACAAAAAAAATTACTTAATGACAGAAAGTCATTAAGTCCTAGTTTCTCTTCCCTCTGCACCGTTTTATCAGATAACTGGTGTAACATTTAATGTAAATGTTGTTTTGTCTCTTATGAAAGTCGTGAGATGCATCACGATTTAACATTCTCAGCCTCTCTGCTCTCCAGTGGCGGCACAGAGTTCTTCATGGGTTTCATGTTTAGTTTGAACCCGGGAGTTTGCTGGTTTTTGATTATTGACCCTTTGTGCTGTGTGAAAACATCATTAGCTCGCTCTCACGTCCTAAATCCATTATTGACTGTCTGAATTCGGCTGTGCTGGTTCAATCCATTTGTTCCCATCATTATATAAGAAGTTACCGTCCAGTTTGAGTCCAGACACTCAATAAGCTCGGCTTGTTACTCACAAACACGGCTCTCGCACAAGGTTTAGCTCGGTGAATTCAGCCCGTAGACCCACCGGAGACCCACCGGACGGAATTCACCCGAAGAAGTTGTCGTTCAGGCGCAACAACATCAAACTGAACTGTATTTCAAAAAAGATATAAGACAACTCTGTGACAAATAACCAGGGAACACAGCGGCTCTGGTGCATCCCACAGAGCTCTGTCCTCGGCCCACTCTCAGCCCTGATTGCCCAGATGTTTCCCCTCTCAGCCTGAACGCTCCCTCCTCAGTGGGTGTCTAACGTGTGTGTGTGTGCGTGTGTGTGTGCGATGCGTGTAGTTGGTCCTGGTGTTAGGTGACCTGCACATCCCCCACCGGTGCAACACCCTGCCAGCCAAGTTCAAGAAGCTGTTGGTCCCGGGGAAGATCCAGCACATTCTCTGCACGGGCAACCTCTGCACCAAGGAGAGCTATGACTACCTGAAGACGCTCGCCGGGGACGTCCACATAGTCCGAGGAGACTTTGACGAGGTGTGTGTCAATGAGCCGTATCCATCACACCACAAAACACAAGTAGACTTAATCACTTCATGCAGGTTTTAATATGAAAACGATATAAAGTGCTGTTTCCAAGGATGTCCTGCTTTTGGGGGTTTTTATTACTTGTTTTATTTAAGACATCACCCTGAATATTTTATAAATCAATGGGTTAATCTGAGTAGTTGATAATAAAAGTCAATAAAGGTCCATGAGGAATTACTATTCAGATCATTTTATAGGGTTTTAAACTAAAGGGTGCAGATGGTAAAAATGACGTGGCCTGATATTTCATTGAAGGGAAATAAAAGGCATCACTTGCCGGTAATAAAGACTGATTGCGGTGTAATTAATAGTTATTGGTCCCTCCTCTCTGGTCGAGTTTTATGTTCCTGGTTGGGTTTTTTCCATAAACCTGGTGTGTTTTCTCGCTGCCTCCCAGAACCTGAACTACCCGGAGCAGAAGGTGGTGACGGTGGGCCAGTTTAAGATCGGCCTCATCCACGGCCACCAGGTGATCCCCTGGGGCGACATGGCCAGCCTGGCGCTGCTGCAGAGACAGCTGGACGTGGACATCCTCATCTCCGGGCACACGCACAAGTTCGAGGCCTTCGAGAACGAAAACAAGTTCTACATCAACCCCGGTTCGGCCACGGGAGCCTACAGCGCGCTGGAAAGGTACAAATGAAGAAAAAACACGACAATCGAGATCGTTTTCTTTAATATTAGAAAAACGTAAACGACGCAATAAACTGATGAATCGGTACTGAAAGCCGAGGTCAGTCCATACAACCCGATTCTAACGCACATCTGTCTTCTCTCCTCACAGCAACATCATCCCCTCTTTTGTATTAATGGACATCCAGGCTTCCACAGTGGTGACGTACGTTTACCAGCTGATCGGCGACGACGTCAAGGTGGAGAGAATCGAGTACAAGAAGTCCTAAGGGAGGCGTGAGGAGGAGGAGGAGGATGAGGAGGAGGAGGAAGGGGTGGAGTTGGCTCAGTGTGTCGTTTCATTCCTTTCCCAGCAGGGGGCAGCAGCTCCCCTGCAGTCACCACAATGTTAATGCCGTAACAAACTGTTCGGTAAATTAACTCATCAAAGAAATGTGTATCATATTGTTTATAAGTCATCAGCGTTTGCTTGCGTCCAAGCTGTCATTTGGTAACCGTAGAGAACGCAATAATGTCACATGTATTTGTCATCAAAAGAAGTATGTGGTGCCCTTTTTCTTTTCCTTTGTTGTCATTTTGTGGCCTTTAGCTTCATGTAGTCGGCTTTTTTTCAGTTGATTTATTTCCCACAATAAAGGTCTTATTTCACTCTATCAGGTGTTTTGTTTTAAATATCTGACAGATGGATAAATTGATGAATGGACGATAGACAGACTGATAGAGAGTGAACTGTGCATCTTTTTACACCAGAAGTCCAGTATGTCCACATCCTTTTGGGTTAATGGTGGAATTTGTTGTGTAAATAAGTTCCACGGTTTCTCAAACAGCAACAATCAAAATGGTCATTTGAAATTTGTTGAAAATTACACATATGATATAAATCAGAGAAAGTAATAGTATATTAGCAATGCAGTGGTTCTGTTGATATGACCATCTTTTATAAAACACATGAAGCAGGTGAGGAGAAAATGAGATTTACAACTTATAAAGGTAATTTGATGTCATAAATATGCACCAGAACATAAAGGTCTGAGGCCCAGATAAAACCTAAATAAAAAAAATCCCTCTCCCTTTAAGAAGCAGTTCTGTTGCTGCTTGTTGTGGTCGATGTTGAAGAGATAGAAAAGATGCCTGCGGTTGTCATGGATGAACAGATGAGATCCCATCGCTCGTCTCTCACACTGGATGTGAACACGTGATTTCCTGCAACAGGGGACCATTGTTAATATTGCAGGGTGCAATTGAGGGAAAGTTTGAAGCTCACCTGAAGGCGTGACGGTGAGAGCAAAAATCTACCTGTCAGAATTTTTGGGACTTTCCCAAATAAACAAGCCGACAATTGATTCGGTTTAGCAGTTGAAATTCCTCCCTGGAAGGGAGGGAGGGAGAGGAAGAGGTGATGTTTGGTTTGGGGAAGTTATCAAACCGCTCTGTGTGTTTTGGCTGCACGTCGGGTCCCTTGATCGAAGGCTTCTTCTCTCTGAACACCGGTGAGCTGCGACTCGGGCTCAGCTGTGAGCTTTCCCCTCAGGTCCATTCTCCTCACATCCTTCTGTCGCCATAGAAACCTCTCAGGTTTTGTCTCATTAACTCGATGGAAAGCTGAGACATTATTTGGGTTTCCTCTTACTTCTGCTTCTTTACGGCAAGAAAAACTGCACTTAACCATCATTGGTTAATTTAGTCCTGTGGACAAGCTGCAGCCAGTGAGACGCACCCCTCGGTCTACACGGGTAAACCGGGCGTGTCGTTTCCCGTAAAGCCTCGGCCTCACGCGAAAGCAGGGGGAGGGATTTGCAGGGTGCAGTTCAAGTCAGGTGAGTCCTTTGTGCCCCAAGGTGACAGGAGGGGAGGAATAAAAGGAGATAAATGCTTCTGTCCGGAAGAAACAACAATCAGTGATCGGATTCTTGCACAGGACGGAAAATAATCCACCTGCTGTCCAAACATCACTAACCATTCATTCAAGTATTTTCCCTCAGAGGCCCAGAGAGAAGCTCGACATTGAGCATGTGTTACTTTAACATTGTTTATCCTCGATGACTCAGCTCCCGATTGGAAGGTTCCAGCTGGACTTCTGCATTAACGGCCACTAGAAAGCCAGCGTGCAGGCTGGTGGAGATTCCTTCTTCAAACTTCAAACCCCACCCATGTGAAATATTCGTGTACCTGCGTCGCTTTGTTTGATAGGAAAGGTCATTCAGGGACGTCCCACGTGGGCTCTGTGTGAGGAGGACTGGGGGGGAATTCCCCTGATACACTGCTATGATCACACACACACACACACACACACACACACACACACACACCTACAACTGCGTCCTAACTAAAGCCTGCCCACGTAATATGAGCTCAGCCCTTTCATCTAAATCCTTATATGTTCTTATTTTTACAGCATTGATTGTAATTTTCTTCCATTCCTTATTTCTGTTTCCTGCTTTTTTGTACATTCTTAAATAGATTTTCTCTTTTCATTCTGCACACTCAAGGAAAGGTCCATGAACGGTGACCTACTTAATAAACGCAACACTATTATTTACATATTTGAATTCTCTGTGGTGTGTTTCCTTTCTATAGCAATGTGCCAGTAGGTGAAACCAAGATAAAGCCTTTCCACTCACGACCGCACAATGGAAGCCTGTTTGCTATCTATGACCTCCAAGCTAAGCACCTGTGTACACGGTGTGGTTACCTATCAAAAGCACCGTCACACCTCTAGAGCTTGCACGTATTACTTTTATTACAAGAAATATAAATATATCTTGATTTAAATTGCCGCTATTCTATTTTATACCACTGACACAAGCCGTAAACACAGCATTGACACACGGACTTATGAAGCCTGTGAAGGGAACTTTATTCACACATCAAGGGTTTATGGAGCGACATTGTTGTTCATTAGGAGTCAGTGATGAATCTCACTCCACAACTCTCGTTTTTGGCTTTTGGCTTTCTGGCTTTTAGGAGAAAAATGCAACGAATACATGTTGGGTATGAACGCCTTAAACTATGCCATCGTACGGCTATGATGCTATTGTAGAAAGTTCAGTGGTAATGGCAGCACCTGCTAGTCCTGTTATGGCTCCTCTCAGCATGATGCACTAACTTTACCGGTGGGAATCCTCTCCACACGAAAACGAAAGTAAGGACAAGTGTTCATTGGGAAACCCCATTTGTCTTCCTTCATGAAGCAGGAGAGCGAGAGCGGAGTCTCAAAGGAAAGCCTCACTCTGCAGCAACGTGCACCCCTTCAATCTCACAGCCGAAAAGGAGATGAAGAAAATGAGAGGATTGACAGGATTTGGCAAACTTGGAAGGACGGACAGCACAAGACGTTTAATGGAGAAGAACCAGGAGGACGAGGTCATACCGGACGGTAAGACTTTTATCAGTATTCATTTAGGCTCACGGAGAAAATGGCCATCCTCTATATCTTCTCTCTGTGGTGTGCTGTCTGTGGAGTGATCGGCACGTTCCAATCATATGATCGGCATGTAGCACACATGATTCAATGCAACATAAATATGATGCATAGCAGTGTATCTTCCCTATTGATCTCATAAAAATGTGTGTTTTGAGTATGACTAATACTATTAACTTCTGTCTTTGCAAAAGACAAAAAAAAATTGCAAAACGCATAGTCATAAAAGATACTCATGTATATGGGACTCACATGTGGATGAGGAGGCGGGTCCATGCCGACATGCCGTTCTGGGATCGGCTCATGCCGTTCTGAAAAAAGAACCTGCCACCTGCCACTTTTGAATCTCGGTGTGCAGTTGTCTGTAAAAGTTATATTGTAAATATGTGAACGTTTTGTTTGCTTTTTTACTGTGATGTCATCTCTCTGTGGTGGTCATCAGGTTGTTGCTTTTATTGTTTGAGTTTTTACCACGTAAAGGGCCTTTGGGGACCTTTTAGAGCACTTTTTAAAGTATTTTAGGAACCTCTGAAAACTGAGATACGCAGTGTTGAACTAATAAAAGAAGACACAGGGCTGTACAAAGTAATGCTTTTACTCTTCTGATTCTCGTCTGAAAACAGGTCAATATATGAAGCATAAAAACTGTGACCATTCATTACAAATGGAGCAAATTATCAAGTAAAAACTGGAAAAACGTCAGAATAAAGTCTAAGTTAATACGTACGTCTAATTAGTAACCAAGTACTTAGATGCATTCTGCCACTAGGATTAACGCTCACAAGTCACCTGATCTGCCACACGCATGGTTCATTATTTGTAATATTGATTGTAGTATTTGGCTCGTCCACAGGGCCCGAGCTGGCTCGCCCCAGCTGCGACACCTCGACCCAGAACCCTCAGAGCAACCACGAGGAAAGTGAGAGACGGATCACAAGTGAGGAGGCGGCCGAACTTCTCTGCGTGGCCCCCGATGCTTTGACCTCCGAGGCCGGACCCCCGCAGTCCGTCGTTGGCCTCATAGAGGTGTTTCTGGAACAGCACTTCCCGAAGATACCGGCCGACGTGGAGCAGACCTTAAGTCGCCACCTGCTGGAGGTGCAGGAGACGCTGCTCAGGGAGCTCGTGAGGTTGGCCCCCCGACTCCATTCTGAGGGATTGTTGGAATGCTGCCACCAGCAGACATTTAAACATCTTGATCATCTACTTCGGATCATCCGCATCCCCAGAGAATTGTTATTTCTGATTAACTGGGTCCTACATACATATCTGAGGTATCTATCTTTACTTGATAATCCAGTTTATCTTACCAGGTAAACACGCTTGTATTAGAAGAACACTTTTATTTTTCCTGTTGTCGCGGTTTAATTTGTGTTGCTGCATCATGACAATCGACCTTTCCTGTATCTGTTCAAACTAAAAGCCCCCTCGTCCTGTTTCAGTGATCGGTGAGTCTCTGGAGGTTAAACTGTGTTATTTCAGATACAGCTGCTGCCACCTAGTGGTGCTTCTATGTCAGTACACAACCTGGACCTGAACACATGTTCAGTATTTACATGTATGTACATGACAATAAAATGCATTCCTGTCAGTTAGCATGCAACGGGAGGGGTAATGGCATTTAAGTAGTGAGAGGTGAGAGAATGTACGTCGCCTTCTTGTTTAGACAAATATTAGGCTGCACAAACAATGGGAACAGAGGTAGCCTAGCTTTATGTGTCCATAACTCACAAGTTAAACCTTATTTAAATAACTGCTCCACATCATTACATAGTTCCACGCATGATGCATTGTATACGGGGCTAGTTGTCAGTTTTACACTTTAGTATTTTGGATTAAACAAAGAAGAACAGCTGGTAGGCGGGTTTGTTGATTACTGGTCAAAGTTAGGCTAACCGGTTCCCCCTGGTTCCAGTCTTTGTGCTAAGCTAAGCTAATCATCTGCTGGCTGCCACTTCATATTTACTGACAGATATTTTTCTCAAACAAATAGAATATAATATTTGGTTCTGAGTAAGAAGGTATTTATCTTTGTGTTTTTTTCCAGCCGGGACCTGCTTGGTCATCCTGACCTTCAGTGCACAGATCCCATAAAAAAGGTCGACCTCCTGCTGTTAACACGGTGGACGTCCCAAGCGGAGGAAATATTGTTTGAAATTCTGATGGTATGAATATTATTTTTTCCGCAGCATGTTACTACCATTCTGTTTGTGTGTATTTATTGTGTGCTAAACCCAATAATGTCATGCAGTATTTCTGAACTACATGTATTTTCTAAATGTATCATTGAGTGTATCTGCGTGTACCTCTGGTTCACAGACGGATATCGGCCGTTGCCTGGAGAAGATCCTGCAGATGGAAATGAACCACGATGATCTTTACGTGGACGCGATTCAGGTATTCACTGACCCAGATGTGTTACTATGGGAGTCTGTTGTTAGTCAGATGGAAAATGATTTGTGTGCACAACTTTATATTCCAATGAATTTATTTACACAGTAGTTTGTTTAAAGCATTTCAATTTGGATAGACATTTTGAATACTCTTTTTCAAGTAAATATTTGTTTTACTTTTTTCCTCTATTTGTATTTCTTTTATAATAACATTGTTTCCTTCCTGTTGTTGTTTATCATTAAGTGCATTGACGCCGTGCCCCAAAATGTCCTCAAAATCAGCCCACAACTGTCTGATAAGCTGCAGGAGGGTTGCATGCGAGAGCTGCTGCGGTTTCTGAAAAAGTGAGAATAAATTATAGATTTTCACGTAGACATTATGAGCATGACAATGAACCTTAAGTCGTCGCTAATATTGCATGTTTTCTGTGGTTTGTAGGTTCACGGCGGCGCAGAAGGACCTTCTGAGAAAGAAAGCAAAAATGGACGAACCAGAAACAAAAGATTTTTTCAGGAATTTGAAGAACTGTAAAGGACTCAAGTGAGGATTTGTAATAAAATTTAAGTTTCATAAAGCACTTTTTATTTGCAAAACAATGTTTCTAGCAAAAACACAGTCTTAAAACAACATATAGAAATGTAGCTGTAATACATCTTTTTCCTCTCAGGCAGTACATCCAGGAAAAAGACAAAGAGAAAAAATACCCTCTCATGGAAATCATTGAAGACATGGAGGCTTTTACTTTGAAACTCCTGAGGGAAATCTTCGCTGACATCGCAGAGGTCAACTTCTTCAACTTCAATCAATCAATCGAAAGCGGCTTATGTTTTGAGGAATGTCAAAACTAATATTCATGTTTTGTTCAATCGCAGAGCCGCCTGAAGAAATACTTCAAATCACAGAACAAGGAATTCTCCCTCTTGCTCGATGACGTAAGAAGCCTCCTCTCAGGTCTGTCCGACTACGAGGACGTTCAGATGGTATGTCGAAGGATCGGAACAATCTTTTGTTCCCTCTTAAATGTGTACTGGTGAAAGATTAAAATATCAAACGATGACAATGACACCACAAAAGAAAGACACAAAATCCAATAAAACACGTTTATGTTTAGCTTTTGTCATTGTGAGTCTTTTTATGCTCTTACTATGTAGAATAGTCACATTTGTTAAACATTTGCCTTTTATCAAAGGATGCCCGCTCCCGCCAATTCATGTACTTCCGGTTACCAGCATTTCATTTGTAGATATAAATGAATAAAATATGTTCAGACGTGAGATAAATAAGTTGTTTCTCTTCTCGGTAAAAACTCAGAGAGTGATGGACGAGGCCTACAAGCTCCTCGCTCACGTTTACCTCAAACGCCTCGTCGGAACGCGCCTGAGCCGCCTGAGGAGGCGCTGGCAGCCCGACGTGGGACGAAGGGTCACCGAGGACGCCGAGCTGCTTCACCACTTCCTCGCGGATCTGGTGAGGCCGGCGCTCCGCTCGCCCTGGCGCCTTCGTTGCTGCCATTTATTAATCCCGCAGCTGAATTGTGTGTTGCGTTTGCGTCAGGTTCGCGGGGTCGCTGGCTGGAACGCCATGCTGCTGAAAGTCGAAGATCTGTTGAGCGTCGAGAGTCTTGATGTGATGAAAGTGACAGCGGCGGAGATGCAGAAGGAGTGTCACCCGGGGAGGTAAAGGGTTGTTGTGTGTTGTTTAAGTTGTTTAGGAGGAGCGATCAATAATCAGAAATAATCTATTGATTAATGATCTGCTCTGTTAAAGCGCTAAAACTAGCCTGCGTGCTAACATTACTTTTTAACAATGCTACGTGCGTTTTCTCGGCTGTCCGTTGACTCGCGTTTCCCAAAGTGGGATTTTCTTAAAGTCGCCGCCTAGTGGCCGCTAGCGGAAGTGCGCGTCACTGACTGCGGGTGTTTCGTCTGCAGCGGTGACCTGCAGCTCCTGCCCGCGCTGCTGCAGTGGCGAGGTCTCTCCGGATCCCAGATCAGGGACGTGCAATATGCCATGATGGACCTACCCGGCTTTCAACTCCCACCCACGCCTGCTTCCTGCTTCTCCTGCTTCACCTGGTGGCGAAGCTGCTGCACGCCGGAATCCACGGTTGTCAGCGAGGAGGACGGCTCTCAGATCTGATGCAAGGGAGTTGGAATAAGCTTCAAGTGTACGTTATGTCACTGGTGTCGCTTCCTTTCAGGTGTCGTTGTCGTATAAGGAAATATACATATTTGTCGGGACATTTGCACATCGTTGACAGTACCGTTATGTTTTGTGCATCAACTTGTTGTAGATCGGTCAACCTGTGCGCCTCCCGTCTCATTCTTACTGTATTTATGCACAAGGCTAAAGTGCAACAGAAAGGCCGTGACTTGCGTGGAATGTGGACGCAGGTTTCCGAAGCGAAGCTCAGCGACAGCGGGTTGGGGCCTCGTGACGTTGAGCGTCGCGTCTGCCCGAAAAAGCGGAGTAAGAGGGAAGAGGAATAACAAGAGTTTGAGTTTGAACACGGTGCCTGATTGCTCGCTTGTGAAAAAAACCAGAAACCATTAGCAGATGTGTGACTTCCAGAGAAAGCTGCTCTCTTTGCTCGTTACTGCTCATCAGGCTTTGTTGGCCTGCTGGCCAGAGTGAGTCGCCTGGAGGCCGTGGACAGTGAAGATTATGCGTCTTTTTGCCGCAGAGCCAAAGCTCTGATAATCCAAAACACAAGAACAAAGAATTCAGAGGCACTAAAGGGAAAAAGTTCACTTGACTTTTACAAAAAGGACTCTTTTGTTTCAAACCCTTTAAGGACCATTTGTTGTTTCCTTTGTGTGCTGAGAGTTTTGAGCTGCACTGATACTAAGCTCTGTCTCTTCATTATGATGAAACGTTGCACATTTCCAAACTTCACTGTAAAGATTCTTCTCAGTATTTATTTCAGTTTGTATTTATTGGTTTTAATTCCCTCTTCATTCCCGGTACAAAGTCATATTTTCTGCTTTAATTTAACAGTGAATTCCTTTTAACTTTATTAATGTTGTACATTGTGTTACTTTGTGGTGGTTCGTGTAGTTAATAAGTTGCAAATAAGGTTAAAGGGGCAAAACAAACAAAAACGCTTTTCTTTTTCTGTCAGTAAAGAAATGAATAAAACGATTCCCCGGAAAGGAAGACTTTGCCTGCGTGTTCATTGAACGTCACCAGAGGGAGACAAACATCGAACAGAAAACAGATCCCAGAACAGCTTCTCCATCCAGGGCGCGTGCCCCCAGAATGCAGCTGTGGCTAAATAAATCACTTAGAAAGTTTAGTTCCCAGAGACCGAGAGGACTTTTTTTACAACGTTCTGTATTCAGTCACAGAGGCTCTAGTTTATTAAGAAATTCTGTTTAAAGTGTAAAAGATGCAAATTTAAAAGTTAAATGATCAAAAACTTCTTCAGGAGCAAAAACAAGCCTCTGTTGTCTGTGTCGGAAAACATTCCGATGGCCGAGGCCCAAAAAGCTCCATGTTGATGCTTAAAGTTTATGACCAAAAAACCCCAAATAAACAGCCGGGCTCGGTGGCTCGCAGCAGGAAAGCGAGCTCGTCCTCTTCACTCCCTCTTGTTGCCCTGACTCCCCCTCGTCTTCCTGAGCACATCCTTCCTCTCACACCGACACGCACTCACTACCCAGTACCATCACACTCACTTTCAGGGAAACCCTGAGCCGCTGGCGGCGGTGACGCAGCAGACTCGCGTACTTCCCGGAGGAGCTGCACAAATTACTCAGAAAAAATAAACTGTGATGCGTCTTTCTGTCGCACGGCGATTTCCTGCCATTGTTGATTTGGGATTTGTGCGTTGTTGTTGTTGTCATCACCAAGGTGACGCCTTAAGTTTTGGTCTCAGGCGACTCGGCCGTGAAATCACACCTGTAAGAAAATTGCGGCTGGTGCAGATGTTCTGAGCTGCGAAGGCCTCACAGAGGTGTGTGGAGCCTCTGGATGAGAAGAGCCGGGCGTCAGGAGTCGCATCCAGGTGTCTGACTGCCAGGTTTTCCATTTTGATGGAAGATTAAATGTGAATGTCGCAGTAAATCAAACGTGCACACATAGGTGAATACCACACAAGTTTTACCAAATTTATTAATAAACTTAAATTAAAGACACTTAACACTTTCTCTAAAAGCATTCGGCACATCAGAAGCAATGAAACAAAACATGTAAAACTTCCTGACAACTTGACCTCTCCCTTTATTGCACATGTAATGCCAAATAATTCACAATCTGAAAATGACAACACAAATTTAATGTCCACACACGCACACAGACACTCATTGTTGTTCTCAGCGGTAAAAAGCTCCTTGTTTGCCTGCAGTAAAGTAGCTTATTCTTCCATGCAGTCGGTGCCTTTGTAACAGGGCTCGTGTTGTCACTCACACACACACAACACGGCCGACCTCGTTTGATCACTTAAACAACTCATTTGACCCGGACCTCAGAGAAGAAGGCCCTCGCGGCCCCTCGGCCCCCCGCGGTGCTCCACTCCTCTCTGGTGACCGACAGGACGTCGGTGACGGTCCTCCGGTCGGCTTTGGAGAGGTTGGTCTTCAGCTTGAGAAGAGCCGACAGTTGTTTCTCACTGCAGGTGGGGGGAGGACGAGGGAAGGTTTAGGATCGGTGATTTAATCCAAAGCACACGCGGTGATATGTGGCTTGTATGTAGTGCGCGCTATGGTCATTTCTCCAGGCAGATGTATGTAATGTAAATTGGGCTTTAACTTTCATTGAGTTTGATACCTCAACATCTTTCTATCACAGAGTCCGCCTCCTGTGCTATGATTGGCCGATGGGCCAGTGAGGGGCGGGACCTAGCTCTCCTCCAGGCTCGGTTGGATATCTGTGCCGTTTGTTATAAATGTTTAACCCGCCTTCATGACGTTCTGCTTGGTCGACTTATTATTCATTTCAGGTTCAGTTGAGGAAGCAGCTGTTACAGTAACGAGCACGTGAACAGACACACTGCTGAAAAAGGGATGTGGAAAGAACCACAACCTTCAATCTGCTGCTTCTTTTGTCAGGCTGTTTGCGGCCTCATGCTAAGCTAACCATCTCCTGCCTTCAGCGGTTCACAGTCCAAACACAATCTATTCCTCTAACCATCAGATAGAGAGCGGAGTGGGAAAGTATTTTTGGAAAGGGAGTATTTCCAAAAACCAAAGTATTGGTTACAACTTCCTCATTTCAAGGTTTCCACATCAGTGAGTCCCCCGCTCTGAGAACGTCATGGACCTCAGACACAACAGCAAGCCTGGACAGATCCACACTCCTTCTTCCTGACAGCATTTCCTCCTCCTGTTGAGTGGGTTGGTTCATCCTCAGAATCCACCAACCTCCCGAAGGAGACGCGCTGTGTGTAACCGCGTCAGTGTTGAACCTACCTGAGGTCGGGGTGATCTGCTCCCAGCGAGGCTACTTGGATCTGGATGGCGGGGAGGTCTTGGAGTCTCAGGACTTCTGCTATCTTGGTCAGGATGTCCTTCAGCCAAACGTCCTCAGACCCCTGTGAGGACACAGCAGTTACGGCTCCGTCTCACCTTCTAAATGGGTTTTTGGTTTCCTGTTTCTTCTGGATTCACTCGGTTGTTTTGCAGAAACGTTCTGCTCGATTTCTCACCATTTTAAGGAATAATTTGTACAGACTCTCCGCGTTGTCCCTCACGGTGTTGCAGGCCTTCGCCTGCTGCTCCTCGTTTTTCAGTTTGGCTCCTTTCAGGAGCCTCCTCACGTATTCTACCGTCACCTCCTGGTGCAGCTTTCCCAACAGCTCCTGCAATCAATGCGACCATCGTAAGAAAGTGGATTTACACATTCTGTCAAAACATTTAAACAAGCATATCAAAGAGTTTCAGAGTTCTAAAGGCAGCCGTTATTTCCCATTCTCCTTTTGAGGGAGAAAGCTGCAGCTTCTGTCCTTTAAACTGAGCTGAGGTGTTCTTAATGCTTCATCTACCTGGTGACAGGATCCGATGGAGCCCTGAAGACCCTGAAGCTCTTCCTCGATGCCGACCAGCAGCCTGTTGAACAGGTTCTTATTCAGCCAGCCACTGGTTCCCAGTTTGCGGTACTCTGGCTGTGTGGAGCACAAACACGCCGCGTTAGACAGGTCACACTTTTGAACAGCCAGAGAACTTTCAAAATAAAAAGAAACAGGAGGTAGAACGATGCACTCTTGGGGACTCTTTTCAGCAGCGCATTAATCCACATGTGGTGGTTTTGGTTTGCTCATCAGATTTCATGAAGAAGAAGACATTCTCACCTTGAGGACCTGGTGCACAGGTTTTAATAAATACGCCTGGGCAGACAGTTTCATGTCGGTCAGAACAAGCAAACAGTCTTTCCCCACTTCCTCGGTGAACAGGTGTCTCTTCGTATTGAGGAAGTCCCTGCAGACAGAGCAAAATCAAATGAGCCCACAGGGGTATTTGTTTGTGTAGCCGGACACCTGACAGTCAGAGACGCACCTGAACTGCTCGATACAGCCGAGGTGGGCCTTCACCACCGGCCGGCTGCTCGCTTTGTTTTGCATTATGACGTCGCTTTGAAAGATCTTGAACCTGCAGGAGTTTGACAAGAGTTGAGTTTCACAGAGTTGCTGTTAATAAACACAAGACAAAACTACCGTAGTAGCTCACCGGTGCATTATACCCTTGAGTTGGCGCGTTATGGTCTGAGCCTTCTGCAGATCTCCCACAACCTTCTCAGCTGAGGTGACCATCTCGTTGATGAGCTGGAGAAAGACGACAGCATTGAAAACCACAGCGTGAGACTTTACACGAGACACTGAACCCCGAGCAGCTTCAGCGCTTTGCTCCAGTCTTTACTGAGAGGCGTACCTGGATGATGTCGTAGGAAACAGGACTGACGAAGCAGCCGTCCTCCCGCGTCGGCTCCTCTCCTTTATTCCACTTGTCCTTCGCATCCTCAATGATGCGGCCTCCGAACGTGGTCAGCTCCTCCTGAGCGCACAACAAGCGACAACCCATGTAAGTAATGAATCAATAAAGTCAGCGGTTTTCCCTGTAGCCTCCTTGTTGGGCTGATAAACGCGGCCCGGTGGGGACGAGGAGCAGCAGCAGGAGGTCCGGTTACCTGTCGCCTGTTCAGGTATTGATCCTCCAGAGGTTTCAACAACTCTTCAGGCAGCAGCTTTCCCAACGCTGCGACATCCATCACACCGGCCATCTGTGGCTTTTGAAGGACTCTGTGACAGAGAGAAGACACCACAACTTCCATCAGCCACGTTTTAGACATCGAGCTTCTGATTCCATCTTATTGGTGTAACACCCAGACTGGGGCATTAGGTCACATGTTGTTTTCTGTTGTGTTTCTGTCACTCACCTTTCCCTCTCGTTTCAGACACCTCCTCCCTGAGTGCCGCCGCCCTCTGTGATTGCAAGCCCCACCCTTATTGGTTCCACCTGTGTCTCCTTCTCCTGTGTATTTACTCTGTGCCAACAGCTTGTTCTGTTCCAGTTTGTCTCTTTGTTCCCAATGAGCTTACCAGCGATTCGCCTGAGTGTGCCTTCTCGTGTTTTGACCCATTTCTGTCCCTCCGTCAACCTTTGCCTGCCGATTTGGATTGATCCACCTTCTCTGTCTGACTACCCGTGTGCCAAACCCCTGCCTGAAGTAAAGACGATTTTTGCCCCTGACTACTCTGCCTTGAGTCTGCTTTTGAGTCTAGATCCTTTTGGCCCCAGCGGCGTAACAGTTGGAGGATCAACCTGCTGTTTGTACAGCAGGAGGACAAGCAAAAGAACATCTAACTGTGAAAACAACCCTCGACTTTTGTCTTTTGCTTTCAATGCAGAGCTGTGGGATTTGTGCCCACCCCTCCCTTTCTGCACAGTTGGGCAGACCGTCCCTCAGGGCAAACAGTTTTAGCATTTAGCTTTGCTATAGCTGTTCTCAGGATGCTAGAGCCGCCGCTCACTCCTCTGTCCTCATCCTGCTGGACCTTTCTGCCGCCTTTGGCACAGTAAATCACGAGATCCTTATTTCCTCTTTTCAGGAACTCACTCTCAGGCGGAGAGGATCTGTGTCGGAACCTTGTCCTCTACTACTGGAGTTCCTCAGGGTTCTGTCCTGGGTCCCCTCCTCTTCTCGCTCTACACCAACTCTCTCGG